ATTCTCTAATTCAATGCAGCTTTATTTACAATAGCTGTTTTATGGAGATAATCTAAGTTGTCTGTTGATGAGTTAATAGATAAAGAATATCATTGGACCAGGAACAAAACCTGAAATTACTGGTACTCAAGAGACTGAGGTAGGTGGATGACAAATTCAAGAGTTGTCTATGCTACAGAGTAAGTTTTCATGTATCCCGGAGTAAATAGTAATGTTTAGCCTGGAGCAAATTAGTGTGATAGAGGTTTCTTAAATTTTTTTAAGTTTTAAAAAGGGCTTGGAGTATAGCTAAGTGACAAAATATTTACTTACAAGTGAAAGACCTGACATTAAATCCACAGTATCAGCAAAAGATACTCCTTCTCTGTACACACAGACATATACACACACAGATGAAATGCTACTTACCTACAACCACCCAGCAATGCTGGTAATCTTATTTTCTGTCATTTACATCATGAACGAAATTGAACTAACTGCAGTAAACCAGAAACAAAGACAAATACTCTATTACCTCATTTCTCAAAAGAAGGAATGCATACAACAGTGGTTGCCAGGGACTGGGGGACAGGGAAGGCAAAGGGGGAGGTGAGGTCAAAGGACACAAACTCCTATTTATTTTATTAGAGGAATATATTGCACACCATCTTTGATCATGTTTTATAGTATATATAGGTAAAGATTTCATATATGGTACATATGATCGATGAAAAATATAATACACATAATATATTACCTGGATGTAACTTTTTAGCATATATGTTGTAGACATTGTCAACTATATGGTACATATATTAATATGAAATTGGAAATTTAAATATGTATTTATATAAAACACACATACGTACATGGTTATATTTGGTTAAGACTTCATTGCGTATTGGAAAGATGCAAAGAGGTAGATCTTAAATGCTTTCATCAAAAAAGAAAATTGGTAATTCTTTGGAGTGATTGCTTTGTTATTTAGCTTGGTTATGTCAATCATTATAGAAAGCCTAAGATACTGAATCATCACACATTGTACACGTTCAATGCATACAGTTTTGATTTTTTTCCTCAAGAAGAACCGAGGAAAAAATTCTACAGGTGTCGAGTCTAAAGAATATTTAACAGTGGCTCTGGGTCAGGCTCAGACTTAGGTTCTACAGGGTAAGAGAACAGCACTGTCATTGATGAGTGCACACAAAATCACCTGTCAGTGTGGGGTGGCAAAGGAAAGCAAATTCTGCTATGAGCCTATGAGTCCATGGGTTCGTGCAAAGTGGGAGGCAGGAGGCATGTCTACCAAGGCCAAGAATGACAGTGGTATCAGTCTGTAGCAAGAAGTCAGATCAGCAGCAGAGGTACAAGTTTTGGAAGACAAAATATAGTGGAAGGTGGTACCAGTAAGAACTTGTGGGCAGTGGGCAGATGGTTGTTCTTTGGACATGATTACTATCATACTTAAGAGTGGTGGGAAGAATGGGTTCTGGTGAGAGTTGCAGATGTGAAGGCTCCTCAGAGGCCAGGCCAGCTAAACTATTCATACCTCTACCTCTGGGTTTCAAGTGAAGCTGCTGAGTTGGACCCAATTTCATGAAATATTTCAACAAATATCACATTTTAAACACATAGACACACAGACACAGACACAGACACACACACACACACACACACACACACACTTGATTACATGCACAAGCATGGATTTACAAGCTACAAAGGCATATTTACTGGACAGGCTGCCAAACTCCTAAGAGTTGGAACTTCTATAATCTTTTGGGCATGGCTGAGCCTTGGATATAAGGTCCCAACCAATTTCCAAGAAGCAATGACATTGACCTAAATCTCCCCCACTGAATTAGGGCCCAACCCAGGAGACAGAAGACTAGTGGGGACAGATGATATCCAGGTTTTCAAAACAGTACAGAAACAACTCATCCAATCACACTGGTTTTAACAGCTTTGTGATAGTTAATTTTCTCTGTCAATCTGGGTAGATTTGGAATCATCTGGAAGACACACCTCTGGGCATATCTAAGAGGATGTTTCCAGAAAGGTGTGTCTGAGGGGTGATGATTCACCCTGAATGTGAACTGCAGCATCCCAATTGCTGGGTTCAGTACTAAACAAAAAGGAAAAATGTGTCATCACACCCTGCCTCTGTACCTTCCCAGTTCTGAATTGTCCCAGTTGCATGTTCCTGCCACCACGAACTCTGCCATGGAGTCCCCCCATGATGGACTGCACCCTCTTCAACTGTGATCCTAAATATTCTTTTTCTTCCCTTAAACTTATTTTTGTCAGAGCCATGATGAATGTAACAAATGCAGTCTCCATCTGTTATCTACCTGTGATCCCCTCCTTGGTTGCCCTATAGGAATAGAGATAAAGGGGAAAGAATGTAACCTGCTGCTATCTGGCTGAAACCTACCTGCACTTTTGAGATGACAGTGCCCCTTTTAACAGGAAAAGCAATGATTTCTCATCATAGTCAAGCATATTTTTGCTCCATTAGATTGGTAAGGGAGACTATGGTACATAAAAGTCAAAAGATACTTCCATGTTCCTTTGTCTTAGTTGAGATTTTGAAAGTGATAATATGCAGTGGGAAATGGCCTAATAACGATCCTTGGTACTTCAAGTTTTCCATAAAGATTAATTTTTAAAAAATATTTTATTTTTCTTATTTCTAGTTTATGTGTATGAGTGTATTGCCTTCATGCATGTAAGTGCACCCTGTTCATGCAATGCCCAAGGAAATTAGAAGTTTTCGGATTCCTTGGAACTGGAGTTACAGATGGTTGTTAGATTCCATGTGGGTGCTGGGATTTGAACCCAGGTCCTCAGTAAGAGCAACCAGTGCTCTTAACCACTGAACAATCTCTGCAACCCCTAAAGATTAGTTTTTGTTTTTATTCGTGAGTGTGTGTGTGTGTGTGTGTGTGTGTGTGTGTGTGTGTCTTCCACATGTAGCAAGGAAGGCAGAAATAGGTGTTGGATCTCTTGGAGCTGGAGTTACAGCTGGTTTTAAGCGATTCAGCCTCTGTGCTGGTAAAAAAATCTCAGGTCCTCTACAAGAGTGGTATGCTCTCTTAACTGCTGAGCCATTTCTCCAGCCTTAGGTGTTTCACATATAAATTAATTTGATAATTTCACAAAATGAGTTTTGGTCACATTGAGACCCTTTTCCATCTATATCTCAATCTTGCTACACCTCTGACTACATGTCCACTCTTATTATTGTCATGTTTTTAAAAGTCTATTGAGTCTAATCTGTGCTCCAGTTGTGTGAACTTGTAACTTGGAGTCTGATGCAAATACCTCAGCACACCAATAAAGAAAACTTACTCTCCATTTCCCATCAGCTATCAATTGCCAATTACCCACTTCCCCCCTCTAGTGTTAGGGTTTTGCTGGTTTGGGCTGGCCCTGGTCTTGTGCATGTTGTCACAAGTCTTGTGGGTTCACATGTGCTTCATCCATGTGAAGTTAAAGGGTCAATCATGTTCTAACCACCCTTGTCATGAGGAAACAGTCTTGAAGAACATTTCAAGGTCACCTCTGGAAGGAAAGTATCCCCCCTCATGTAGGGAGGAATCATGTAGTTCAAAACAAGGTTGTCTCTTGGTGGATCTCTGTCTTGAGGACACCTGCCTGAAAACTGAAGTCTAAATCTCTTTGACAGGATCGACAGGTTAATTTTACATGTGCTCCTCCCCACCCTCTCATAAACACTGCCCAAGATTTTTCAGATATGAAGCCTGTCATAACTGCAGGAAAGAAGCGTTAGACCCTCATCTTGGCTCCATTCAAAGTACCTCCTGGCCATCAGAGATCACAGTTGTTGGAAATAAACTGTGCATTGCAACAAGGACCCTTCTGCCCATGGAGCATGGAGCACTGACTGTAGAAAAACGGTGAATGGACTTACAGAACTGAGGAGGATGCTAGCTCCTCTCTCTACAATCCTCCTAAAGCCACCACCATCAAAGCTGACACCCCCAAGTCATCTGAGATCGATGTGAGTGTGCAAATTGAAGTTAAATATCACAAAGCCAAAATGGTCAAGCACGCCAGCATTTATTCGAAGAAGATATTTGGGAGAGCAGGGGCCTAGGCAGGAGAAGTTCTTGGTCACTGTCCATAGCCTTGCGCATTGGGCTCCCATGGTGTTAGCCTCAGAATGTCTGGTATCCTCTCTGGAGAAGGAAACAGAGAGACAAGTGGAACCTTTGAGGTTACCGGGGGAATTAAGGCTGGGCTGGGATTCACTTGAAGGGGAGAGGAAGGGCGACAGCTCAGCTTCCTGTGGGTAGTGAGAGAGGCAGAGGCTGGCTGAGAGCCCTCACCTGAAGAATATGACCACATGTGCCAGCCCTCTCTGGAATTGGCCCTTCCAAGACTTTCTCAGAGGATAAGACTCCCTGGTGTGGCCTGAGCCATTTGATGAGCTCTCCATGATGTGAGGAAAGACAACTACCTTAGATTGTTCTTGTGGGCCCTTCACAGTCTGCAAAATAGAGTCTGTGGCCTCATCCTAACAGTCCCACCATGACTGGTATCCATTGCCTCATTTGGCTCCTGTGATGGGCATTCATCCCCTCTATCAGTTGAGGTACTGAGGATGCAATGATGGGGTTACCTGCACTGACCAAATCGCAGCCTCCTGGAAGGTGATCCAGACAAGGAAGGGAATGAGACTCACTGGCCTCAGAGGTGGAAAGAAAAGAATGAAGATCATGCCTCTAGGAGTGTTCAATGTGTCAAGACCAACTCTTGGGATTTCCGTGAAGAAATCTGCTGAGCTCTGTCTGCTAGGTGTAAAGAAACCAACACCCACCCCTTCTGCCCCTGCCCATCCTTCCTGCTCCTCCCTCTTAATGCCCAGTACATTCTGCCCAACCAGTGGATACATTTCTGATGATTGATGTCTGTTCAGTCCTTGTCTCTTAATCCCCTCCCCTTGGAACTTTCTTTGTTTCTTTTTTTCCTTTTCATTTTCCCTGTGTCCACCCCAGCAGCCTGAATGCACATCTGATCGCTGAACAGAAAATGCAGAGGCCTTCGGGCAGACGGTGAGTTCTCCTTTGGTGGGGTTCTCATGTTCTCATGATCTTCCTATTTGCTTTCCCATTTAGTTAGAACTATGATGTTTTGCATGGCCCCCAGGAGGTGCAGAATTCAAATAGGGTGTAAAACCATGGAGACCAAGCTGGACAAGGCATCGTAAGGCCACTTGGACTCTAAGTTTTCCTTTCTGAGGACTTTACCCTTGAGGGTTATGTGAATGTCTGCTCCTGCTTGTCTGAATCTGAAAAGTATTGTGGCCTGGAAAGCTTCTACAGTGTGCAGGACAGTATTTATGAGACTAGAAGTATTTTCATAGGTTTTAAAATTTATCAGTTTATACTTAGGTCTATGATTCATTTCGACTTAGCTCTGCAAGTTCTGTAAGATGCTGAACTTTCTCTGCTTTTTTCCCCCAAGAGCATCTACTTTTTTCTTTTCCATTTCTTAATTATTTTAGAGTCTTTGTAATTGTATTTATGGGCTCTCATTGTGTTCACTGATGCAAGTGATCTGTCCTAAGGTGATTCCATACTGTGACGATTACCCAGTTATATGATAATCATTTATTTGGGGAGTGAATCCTCCATGTTGTCCTCTTCCCAATGTGTTCAGGTATTCTAGGCCCCCTTCTGAAGACCTTTGAGAAAGCACTTCTTTTGATGATATTCCTAGTAAATGTAAATCTTGACCTTTCGAGTCTTCTAATCAATAAGCATAATATATTTCCATTTATTTAGGACTTTAATTTCTCTCAGCAAGACTTTGTTGTTTTCTGTAAAAATACATTTCATTCATTATGGTTAATTTTCTCAACAAGTAAATTGTTTAATATGTTGTTATTTAGAATGTCATTTAAGAGCATTTCTGCCTCCAGTTATTTGTTACTAGTATATTGAAATGGAATGAGTTTTTATATACAGATTTTCTATACTATGACCCTGCTAAACCATTTCTAGCATCTAAAACATAACTTATTTCTGGAGTACGGAATAATTCCTGTGCAAAATATGTTAAATATGTTACTTTTAAAGGACCATAGCCCAGAGAAGTTCTTTTATGCAGTTGATGGTAGTTAACTCAGAAACTCACAACTGGCCAAAATGAAGAGAATAAGTATCTGTGGAGTGCTCAGCCATAAATGAGACATCTATATTATACTCACTCATCTAAAGCCCTGGAACCATTATGGAAGAGGACACAGATAAATTGTAAGAGCTAGAGTTCAGGATAGACCAGTCTCTTCTGGTCATGGTCAAGATAAATCCAGTCAATATTCTAGCATGGATAGGTAAGGGTCTCGTGAGCTCCCATCCCTAACTGAGGAGCTATGGACACTTGATGTGTTTGAGAGGAGGAAGACTTAATTTTCTTTAAGAGTGGCCCCTAGTAGGCTGACCATGATCCAACGGATGGCTGTACATCCAAGAGCACAAAATGGAAACTCAGTGGCTTATTTTTAAAAAGGACACAAAATTTATAGGGGGCGAGGATATAGGGGGTGGATCTGAGAGGAGTTGGAGGCAGAGTTGGGGTGCATGTGATCAAAATACATTGTATGAAATTCTCAAAGTATTCCTAAAATATTATATTAAGAAAAGAGATATAAAGTTGGGAGGAGGTGGGGGTGGGCTGTATCTGGGAAGAGTTTGGGGGAGCATTATGGGGTGGAACATGATCAAAGTATTTTGTATCCATGCATAAAATTCTCAAAGAATTAATAAAATATGTTGAAAGAAAATAAACACAGGAAACCGTTCTTTTACTTTCTCATTTTCAATCTCTATGCTTTTTATTTAATGTTTTTTTTTGCTTGCTTCATTGTACCAGCTATGGCCTAAAGCGTAATGAATGAATATTGTGAGACTCTGCAGAGAGACATTCTGCTTCATTTCTAAATTTTTAACAGGAGCATTTTCTTTCCAGTATCTCATGCATTCTTTCATACACAAAATCTGCAACAAAGTAGCAGGGAGCATATTTAAAGTGGAAGAAACTCAAGGGCAGGGGGAACAAGAGGATCATGTGGGAAAATAAAGACAAATAGCGCATGTTTGCATCATATATGGAATCCCCATTCAACTCTCCATATCTATCTATTTATTCATATCTATCTATTTATTTATCTATCTATCTATCTATCTATCTATCTATATATGACATGAAAATAGAAAAGGAACCATTTGTGGGGAGAAAAGGGACTGGATGGAAGATAAACAAGGGAGGATAATACAGGTGGAAATGAGGAAAGTACAATGAAGTACAAGAGCGACAATGTCATAACTAACTCATTTTTGAATGGCAAATAAAATTATAAAATAAAATTAAAACTGTAACTGTTAATAGAAAAGAATTATTTAGCTTTTCACCAGTAATTATTAATTTTTACCAGTAATTACTTTGTAGTAGTGACAATGCACTCCTAAATTAAATGACAATGTGCTCTCTCTTTTATTATCTGAAAAGTTCTAGTCAAACTACTACAGTTTTTCTTTAAATATTTAATACTATTCATTAATGAAAGTTCATTAATGAACTTTACTTTTTATACCTATTTTTATTGTGATTATAATCATAAATTGACATGGCATTCGTTAGTCACAATTAAAAACCAGTTATACTTGAAATATGCGCTGAGCCAATAAATGAAATATGGCGTTTCAATGAGGCAAGGGTATGGTGATTGGTGTATCTTAGGAGAGTAAATTTGATCCCAACAGGTAGCCCTGAAGGCTGTTACAGCAATGACATTCACAACCAAATGAGTTATTGAAAACATCCCTGTATTTCCCTATCTTGAGTGTCAATATTTTGCTTTTTTTTTTCCTTAGTGTAGTGTCTAGGAAGGGGAATGGCCAAGTTTCTTATATATGTAACTAACATTTTTTAATTTCCCTAATTTAGGGAACCACATAAACTCTTGCCTGCTGTGAGAGCCTCAAGGAAGGAGCAAGGCACACAGGTAAAGAGGCACCTGACTCAAGGACAAAGAAAGACTATGGCTGCTGCTCCCAAATCCCATGCACATGTCAAGAAGTTGGCTGTGGAAGAAGGAGTCTTCAGTAAGTGTTTCTTACTAGATACAGTGACTGAATTTGGTGGAGAAAGTACGAGTAGTTCTTTCATCACCATTTCTATCATGGAATGGCAATGTGACCTTGAGCAAGAACTGTCTGGACCTTGGCAAAGCCATGTAAATAAATAGCTTATCAATGTTGGGTACAAAGTGTTTACAGGGGGCGAGATCAGGAGAGTGTGGGATAATTTAAAATGGGACTACTGGGGGAGGAGCACTCAACCAAGTTGTGACTGTTCTTTTACAGCTGGGAAGAACGCTGTGCACCAGCTCCAGGCACAGACAGATCCAATAACCCAGGAGGTAAGGAGGGTCTATTGTCCATAGGGGATATTCCCATCAGCCACTGTCAAGAACCTTCCATTATGTCCCAATGACAGTTTCCATTTCCAACTTCATCACTGACTTTTCTTATGACACAAGAAAAGACTCACTTTCCATGGGCCTCAGTATCCTCGGATACAAAGTAAAGTTGGATGGCTTTCAAGATCTTCAGAGCTCTGAGTTCTGAATTCCTATCTTCATTATAATATACTCATCACCCATCTCTCCACAAACATCTGACTACTTGATTCTCACATTTGCTCTTTGCCCTTCAGGAAAACTTGCAGGGGACTGTGCTGCTAAGCCAGCCCCCAGAGCCATCACCTGTGCCCTATACTCCAGAGACCATAGGGCAGCATTTGGCTGTTCCCTTTTCTGGGGAGCCCCATGAGCCCTCTGCCATGTCGAACATGTGAGTAGAACAAGATTTGTGGAGTGTCTTGTATTGTTGTATTTCTAGCCTTGGGCTTAGAGTCATGGGAGATAGAAGCAGGAGGATGATGTTAAGGAAGAAGGAGGTAAAGGGGTAAAGAGGTGAGGGCTCTACCTCAGTCTAAGGGACAAAGAACACTCTCAGCTTTGACAATTTCTATCCATGAGAGTTTGGACAAGTGACAATTCTTCCAGGTATCCATTTCCCAGTGAGCTGGCTGGTGAATATATTCTATACTTACAGCTTTGAAAAGTGGACTATCACATAGTGAGCCTTCAAAATGCTGAGAAGGTTGATTCACTTTGAAACAGGTACATGAGATAAAAGGTCCTTTTGAAAACTGGGCACATGATCAGGACAAAGGCCAGGGAAATGTCCAGAGGCCAGCAGGGAAAGCATCCTAGAAATGAGCCTGACTTATCCATCATGACCAGAGAGGATTGGACAAAATGGAGGCAAGAGCCATCACTGAAAAAGGATGGTGCTCATATTTACTCCAGGCATTTGCAGATTAAAACACAAACACCTATGATCTTTACTCTAGCCCTGGGAAGACAAAGTTAATCTGAATTATTGTTTTAGAAATGCATGGAAAAGAGGTATGGAAAGGAAAACTAGTCAGGCAAGAGAAAGGTCTTCAGAGCTCTGAGTTCTGAGCTAGCCCCAAACACAAGGATAATTTCTATGCAATCATTTAGACTCCTACATCTTGCAGATCCTTGCTAATGTGTTTTCTGGTGCTAAACATCCACTAGGGACTTTAATTCTCTGGTCTCTCCTCTTCTTATTTCCAGATGCTCAAACCTGATTCTTCAGCCCTGTGCTACCACTGATCCTATTCTACTGCAGCCACAGGTCCTGGCAATGTGGTGGGAATCAGAACAGTGGGAGGCAACAAACTTAGCGGATGGGAACAGCTGGCAGAAACTGGGTGCTGGAGGGTCAGTTGTCATAGGGGAATATACATATTTCCCAGTCTTCATTCCCTACCATGCTTTCTTTTGCAGGACCCCAGTGCCTCTAATCAGGCTTCAGCTTCTGCCACCTTAGAGTGGCAGGAGATGCTGGAGGCTGCTGAAGCTCTGCTGGCTCTGAAAAATTCTTCTCAGGCCCGGCTCCAGTCTCGTGGCATGCCAGGTACATAGGGATATTTGGAAGATGATAGATTTGTGGTGAACTCTTGGTAGTTGGGAATCCACAATGGGGCCAGATGCTAAAGTTCTTCAGTCAGACATTAGAGATTGTACTTGGGAACTGCCCAGTGAATCTTCAGGTGACTGGGTCTTTTGTCCAACAGCAAATGTCAGTGCCACTACATCAAGAAAATATAGGCTGAGATTCCCAAGGGTGACAAGGTCTTCTTATATGGAAGGCAGCATATTAGGTAGAAGGAAAAGAACCTGAGCATAATTATTCCAAACCCAAGGTTGTGTCCAAATCCACTGCAGCCCAAGGTGGCCTGGGATGGCACAGTAAAGGGTCTGAAATTGAGGACATCATGATGCTGAATTCATGGCATTTTCCATTAGGTTTTGAGCCTTGACAACATCCCAGGCTATATTTTGCCAATGAATCTCAATTACCCACCAAGATAGGAAAGGCTTCAGGCACTCAGAGGAGAATTATACCACTGGGAGGCTGGGAGTGGAGGCCAAGCAAAAAAAGGCAATGGAGTCAAGTGTGTGTAGGTGGGGAGCCACTCTACTAGAATAAAAGGTGCTGAATGAAGCTGGAGAACTTGCTGATCACAGAGATCTGACATGGTCAGCAATGTAGAGTGGGCCACAATTCTCGGGGAATAAAGGAAAGCACAACTTCTGTGTCATAGTGAGGATCATATCGAAAGACCCCAGGAAGACCAAAAAATATTGCTGACTGTGATGGAGGGATGGTAGAGCGATGGGAACAGGTATGTTCCTGGTCTCAGTGACAAATCTTTTATTGTGTGGAACACAATAAAAGTGAGGGGGCAGTTGGTAGGGTGTGTGTGTGTGTACCTTATGTGTGATCTGACTCTGACCTTTGAATGTCTTTCTGCAGGTCCTTCTGGAGAGAGGGGACTGCAACTGGCCAGCCCCTCTATGCCACCAAGGTCTGCCAGCTCTGGTTCGCTGCCTACTGGACATCTGGATTGCATGTCCCTTTTGACCTAAGAGCCCAGATTGGGAGGCCTCGCTAGAGCACTGCCTGTTTGAGTCTTGTTTCTGAACTTGCAAAATGGCTCCTGTCCAAAGTGCTTAATGTGTTTTTTAAGCATTCAGGTATTTTATAAGCTTTCAGATCCTTTTTATGGTGTAGGGCAATTACTTGGCTTTCCTATGTTCTTTACCTCCATCCCTAATTTCTTTGGAAGCTGGGGCTTTTTATGTGTCTTATAAAAATGCTTTGTGCAATCTAATTTGATCAGTCAATCAATGGGGTTCTGAGTGGTATCAAATGCCAGTGTTTTCCTTTGTGTGCGATTGTACACATACCTGTGCACTACTTTACTGATTCACGCGTGTGGAAATATGAGGATTTTCACACTGCATCTAGGTTTGTGTGTTACCAAAAATAAATACTTTTTTGTAAAGCACTGAGAAGCATGCGTTGTTTATTGAAGCAACATAAGGTAAATATTAAGATTATCTTGTCTTTGTCAGGTCAAAGTTAGCTAATAAAATATTCTTTTATTAAAGCATTGAATGATTCAAAGCAGCAATCATCAGTCACTATATTTTGTGAAAGTACACAGCCCCTTTATTTGCTATCCAAGTTACCATATGTGACAATCAGTGGGCTCTTTCTTGTTTTCATGAGATTGTTTCTCAGTCCTCTGATATTATTCTAAGTCAATGAAGAATTGAAGACACCACAAGACAGTCAGCAAGCTCACCTGGAAGTCACTGGACTGACTCATTCTCATGCTGCTGCCTTCCTCCTTTCCATGCCTCTATTCACTACACATGATTGGTGATGACATCTATTTCTACAATTCTTTCTACTTGGGGCACTGCTAAATAAGAATTTGGGTATTCTCTATTTGATGATGGAGAAACAAACACACAAAGTACATTAGGATATGGAAGAAGACTGAAGGCCATATCATTTTCCCCTCTACTTTCTTGATCAGTTTCATGGATAAATGATCCACAGATTCATCCTCCCTAAGTGACATGTGAACATGTCTACATATTCTTGAATGAGTATGTGGAAAAATACTAGGCTTTGCTATGAAGTGTTGTCTTACTACACTTTCGTCTCACCAGCTGAGTTGCTTATTTCTTTGGGTTTTCAGACACTGCTAGTCAATGTGTTTCCATTCTGGATATACAGACGATATGGTGCTTATAATTATTGCTTCAAAAGACATGTCAATGAAATGAAATTAGAGCATACTGTATGGAAAAAATATTTCCAAATCATGTCTGGCAAGAGGTTGATGCCCAGAATAGAAGAACTACAACTAAAGAACACAAACTTTAATCCCCCGAATAAAAAGGGTACATATTTGACTTCTCTCAAAAGAATATATACAAATGGCAAAGAAACAGGAGAAAGTTGGTCAAAATCTCTAAACAATAAAATAATATAAATCAATATCACGCTGTTAGATCACTTCACACCCCGTCGTATGATGACTCTAACATTCACAGTAAACATTTGTTGGTGAGGATGCTGGGAAATTGGAATCCTTTTGTTCTGTTGGTAAAGATGCAAATTGGTGAAGTACTGTGGAAAACAGTACGGTGGCTCTAGAAAAAAAAAACCCTACCATACCATCCTAAATGCCCATTTTTCTTATGTATCTCCCCCAATTGAACATAAGGTATCAAGGACTTCTCTGCATGGGCCTGTTGATAGCTTATTTTATAATACCTTACATTTAGAAGCCATGAAAATGTTCAAGGAGAACTGAATAGACATGCAAAATGTGGTGTCCACATACAATGTGGCATAACTCAGCCTTAAATGAATAGGGCGTTCTGACACATGCTATGATGTCTGTGCACTTTGCTAGTGAAATAAACCAGGTAAAAGATGACATGTATGCTTAAGTACATTTTGTGAGTTATGTAATATACTCAGATTCAAGGAGCCATTGAATAGAATGGTGGATGCCATGAACAAATGAGAGGAGGATCAGAAAGAGAGTTTTTCAGTGGATATGGAGCATCTGAACTACAAGATGACAAATCTTTGGAAATTTGACAATAATGAAGATATACTCAGTGTTACAGAATCGAATACTTAAAAATAATACACTCCCCACACTGAGTTCCCCTTCTAGTCTTGGGCCCAGGCCCACTACTGGCCTTCCTGCTCAGATCTCTGGACTAGCTTCCTCACCCAAATTAGCCTAATCCTCTAGTACAGTTTTTCAGTTCCTTCACAGACTGTCCCCACCCCCACCTTGCCCCTAGCCTCCTGATATGCCTGCCTCAGAACTGCCTACTGACCTGGTCCTGCCCATTTTGCCTTGATTTCCCTGAAGCCTGAGGAGCTCCACTCTCTCCCTGCACTGGGCCCCCTTCTAGCCTTTCCCCTGCACTAGGCCCCATTCTAGCCTTCTCCCTGTACTGGGCCCCCTTCTAGCCTTGAGCCCAGGGCCACTCCTGCTTTTCCTTCTCAGAACCATGAACTGCCTAACTCAGACTAGCTTAATCCTCCAGTGTAGTTTGTTAGACTCCACAAACTGTACCCACTCACACCTTACCCCTAGCCTCCTAACCTGACAGCCACAGACCTGCCTAATATCATGATAAGTCAGATCCTGCCCAATGTATCTTGATTCCCAAGCAGCCTGAGAAAATCCACTGTCTCCCCATACTGGGACCCCTTCTAGCACTGGACCCAGGCCCACTCCTGATCTTTCTGTCCCTGATCTCTGGACTGCCCTCTTAGTCCAGACCCACCCACTGTGTCCTGATGTCATGCATTCAGACTAGCTCAATTCTCCAGCTTCATTTGTTAGGCCTGCCACAGGTTGTCTCCACCCTCATCTCACCATTGGCACCCCTAGTGATTTGCCTAACACAGACCTGATTATTATCCAGACCAGCCTACTGAAAGGACCTGAAGCGCACACCAACTTACTTTTCCTACCTGAGCAAAAAGCAGCCAAACTACATGAACAATATAAACAGAACCAAACTTTGACTGAACAAAGGCAGAATAGAGTTTCCTATTGGACACACAACCAACAAAAGACATCCATATGCCCAAACAGCAACATGAAACATAAATAATATGAAAAACCAACAGAATGCGTGCCCAACAAAACCCACCAGTCTTACAGAAGTATCACCCTGAGGAACTCCACAATGCAGAATTTAAAACAACAATCATAAACATGATCAAAGAACTTAAAGAACACACAGATCAACAACTTAAAGAGGATAGGCATAAACTTATGATGGAAGCTCAAGAAAATACAAATATGCAGATAAATGAATTAACAAAAGTAATTCAGGACTTCAAAAGTGAATTCACAAAAGAGATATTAATATTGAAAGAAACCCAACCTGAAATGAAGATGAAATTGAAAAACTCAGTAAGTTAATTTGAAACCACGGGAGGATGCCTCATAAGCGGATTGAATAAAATGGAAAACAGAATAGCAAGACTGGACAAGAAAGTTGAAGAACTGGACTCTTCAAGCAAAGACTATAATTAAAAAATACACAAGAATGAAATATGCAGAAAATATGGGACACCATGAAAAGACCAAATCTATGCATCATAGGCATACAGGAAGGAGAAGAATCTCAGGTCAATGACATTGACCAGATCATCAATGGGATTATAGAAGAAAACTTTGCCAAGTCTGCTTTATTCCAGAGATCAAGGATGGTTCAATATATGTAAGTCAATAAATGTAATAAATCATATAAATGGACATAGAGACAAAAAACACATGGTCATCACAATAGATGAAGAAAAGTCCTTGGAAAAAATCCAACATGCATTCACATTAAAAGTTCCAGAGGGAACTGGACTGGAGGGAACATACCTCAACATAATTAAAGCTATGTACATCAAACTCACTGCCAACATCATTCTAAATGGAAGAAAACTGGAAGCATTCCCATTAAAATCAGGAAGCAGACAAGGCTGTCTACTATCTCCACTTCTTTTCAATCTAGTGTTTGAATCTCTTGCTAGAGTAGTAAGAAAAGAGAAGAAAATTAAAGGAGTACTAATTAGAAAAGAAAGGGTCAAATTATCTCTATTAGAAGTTGGTATGATATTATACATAAGAGACTCTACAAACTCTCCCAGAAAACTGCTAGAAATGATCAACACTTTCAGAAAAGTGGCAGGTTACAAAAGCAACTTACAAAAATCAGTAGCCTTTCTATACACCAATAGCAAACAAAGAGAAAAACATTCATGGAAGCCCTCTTATTCACAATAGCCTCAAAAATATCTAGAAATAAGCCTAACCAAAGACATTAAAGATCTCTGCAATGAAAATGTTAAAATTTAAAGAAAGATACAGGAAGATGCAAGAGGATGGAAGGACCTGTCGAATGCATGGATTGGTAGATAATATTGTGAAAATGGTGACCCTGCCAAAAGCAATCTGTAGATTCAATGCAATGCCAATCAAATCTTCGTGACATTATTCATCGAGCTAGAATAAAACAAAAGACCCCTGAATAGCCAAAGCAATCTTGGGCAAAAAGAGCAATGCTGGGGGCAAAAAGAGCAATCATCACACCAGATCTTAAACTATATTACAGGGTTATAGTCATAAACAGCATGGTACTTTCACAAAAACCTGTGACGATCAATGGAATAGAAGACCCAAACATGAGTACATGCAATTTCAGCCACCTGATATTTGGCAAAGGTGCCAAGAACACACAATGGAGGAAAGACAGAATCTTTTTAAAAATTATTTATTTAATAACCACATAATTAGAAGAAACATTTCATTACAACATCATTGACATATTCAATAACAATTTCCAGAGCTAAGATGCATCTCTTTCAAAATTGGCTGTAAATTTTTAGGTTTACAGTTGAGTTACTACAGTTATACAATATTGTACTCAGTATAAACCCTATAAGACATAAAATTGAATGAGTTTTTTTTTACAATTTAATCAGAAGTTTATTTAACAAGGCAGCAGTTTAGTTATAGCAGCTGAGCAGAACACTCCAAAGCCAGATTGCAGTGAGCCAACCCCATGACGCTGGGAGGCACAGTGGGTCCACATTGTGGATTTTGTTTTATGAATGTTTATAAGGTGGGTGTTAGAGCATCCAAGCCCTCTAGGACCTAAGCAGATAATGCTGTAGAGAAGCCCTGCCCCCATCTCTGCCATGGCCAGGAGGAACTGCACCCCCACCCCACTGCGTGAGCGTCCAAGGCAGCTTGAATTACAGCTACACATTAATTAGCCCTGTTCTTTCTCTTATCTGGTCAGCTTGGCCATCTCAGACCTGGCTGCAAGCCACTTTATTTACTTTCCTCAGTGCTTCCAGCCTGGTTTTCACATTATACTCCCACATTTGTTTTTACTGTAATACCTCCACAGTGGGTTCTAGGGATTGAACTCAGGTGATAAAGCTTACACAGT